AAATAAATAAATTTGACTTAAGGACAGACCTTGGGAATGGAACTTGTTCTTAAACTGGGGACTACCTGTATTTTATTCAATAACCAAAATTTTTTAAAACAATTCAACATTTTTATCATTGTAAAAGAATTGATGGAGGTTTTAAAATAAATCTCTCATCTAATTAAAAGTAAACTGCTTACTTGAGTGGTTCTTCCTGGATAGCATAACTGCTCTAGTTAATTCTGATTACATAACATGTTGTTTCTTTTAGGATTTAAATGGGAATTGGTAACAAGAATAGGAAAGCCCCATAGGGCTGCCATTACTTTGCCTTCTTTAGGTGCACTGACTCTTGATGGAGGAAATTTTTTTTTTTAATTTTTGGAAATGGTGATGGTTCCAAAGCATGTTTACTCTGACCTCTGATTCATAAACAGAATGTGTAACTTTGATCTATAATCAAGGTTTGTTTTTCTTAAAGTATCTTTGCTTTGGTCCAGTGTGTCATCTGAATCTGAACAAATGACTTATGTTTAAGAAACCATTATTACAGAGTTGCTTTTACACTATTCTGGTTTTATTTTACTCTACAGGCTCAGAATTGGAGATACAAAAGAGATAAGAAGATTTGGCCTTGTATTAGTCTGAACACATACTATATACTAGATAGGCCAAAGGGAAATAAGACAGGTTGGCTGTGATTTGCCTTTTCATCTGCTGTGTATTTGTTGGGTAATATTAACTCATGGCTAACATTAAGACATACTTTCTTTTTTCATTTTAAGAGCATTTTGTATGACAGACGATAGCATATTTTAATTGTTCAAGTATGGCCAGTGCTTTAAGAAAAAGATGAGAGAAGACAGACTTCTAGATTCTACATTCCAAAGAGGTGGACAATGTATTTTTATTTTATTGCCAGACATATTTTTTGTCCTCCATGAACTGACTGCATGGAGCTTCATTACTATAACTTTTCATGTATAGGATTCCTATCATGAAGTTGACCTGAGCAAAACAACATTGAGGACATTCTTGCAGGTCATACACATTTTCTAGTATATTTAAAAAATGATATGACTAAATATAATCAGACTGGTCTGAAATAAGAATGGTTTCTTTTTTGTAATTATTGCATTTCTGGCTCCCCCACAGGTGGTGATTCATTACAGCTCGATACGCTTTTAGAGTGGTGGAGAGAGAAGAATGGCTCCTTTTGTTCGCGGCTTATTATAGTATTGGACTGTGAGAATGCGCAGCCTTGGGTTAAAGAAGTAAGAAAAATCAGTGATATGTATATTGCAGTGCAAGGAGCAGAACTGGCTAAAGTAGTAGACATAGAAGAAGCAGATCCTCCACACCTTGGTGATTTCACTAGAGAATGGGTTGAATACAACTGTAACTCTGATCACAATATCAGCTGGTTTGAAAAGGGGCGTACTGTGAAAGCTGTGTATGGAGTGTCAAAAGGGTGGAGTGACTATACTTTACATTTGCCAACTGAAAGTGATGTTGCCAAACACTGGATGATGTATTTTCCCCGCATCACATACCCATTGGTTCATCTTGCAAACTGGTTCTGTGGGCTTAATCTCTTCTGGATTTGCAAAACTTGTTTTAGGTGCTTAAAACGATTAAAAATGAGTTGGTTTCTTCCCACAGTATTGGATACAGGACAAGGCTTCAAACTCGTCAGATCTTAATTAAGAACCAGAAGTGAGAGCTCTTACAACTTGAAACAGGACTGACGTGTAACTCTTTTATTTGTCACATTTTACTTTTTGAAGAAATGTTGCTACTTTTGTAGCTATATTCCTTTTTGTATTTTCTTGAGCAAATACAAGATTTTGGAAGAATAAGAAACTCCATTAGAAAACAAAGACAGTGTAGATGTTAAGTGAAATTTGTTCCCAAATTGGATTTCAATTCCATAAAAGCCATTAAATATGACCATAGACTTGAGAGACAGCTTTGTGTGCTTCTTTGCATTGCAGGCTGTCTGATATAAATTGGCAAATTTCACACTTATTACCGTTGGATTCCTGTAATGTTCTGAATACTCCAAAGGGCAAATGTATCCACTTCAGCCCTAGGTCATTGGAAGAGAGACTACTGAATCATGGTCACATTTTGTTTTGAAGGGTTTCAAAATGTAAAGTGGCAAAGAACTAAAATAAATTAAGAAGTTATGCCAGGTAGATAGCTATAAGGCTATTGGCACTTTAATTCATGTTGAAGTGAACTAAAGTGAATGTTACATTTTTCCATGAAACATTTATGTGCAGATAGTAGAATAGGAGCCTCACATCCTAATCCTAGATAAACATACATGGGAGTAACTGTTACTGATGTCAGTGGAGCTTATTCCCCAGTATTCTTAGGATTGCAGCCATAATGTTTCATCTTGGAAATGATGCTGATATGAATTTTTGAATATTTCAAGCCTTAATTAACACAACAACATAAACAAGTTCTTGGGTTCAGTTTTGCTGAATTCAGCAAGGTTAAACTGATATTTTTCTCTGATTTTCATTGGAGGAAGCAAAGCAATTTTTTGGATTATATGTTTTTCCTCACACTGAAACACACTGATTTTAATTAAAAAATACATTCTTAAGCTGCAGAATCTTTTTCCCTGTGGAGCTATAAAATAATTGAGTAACAGCTAAGATCCAGACATTAAAATTTGAGATATTTTCAGTTCATTTTTTCTTGGTGTTCAATTTTTAGTTCTAATTATTCACAGAATACTAATTACTCATACAACAGTTTTATAACTATAAAATGAATATAAAGTATCCCCACAAATCCATTTAATGTTTCTAATTATGGGAATTAAGTGGCATGTTTTCACTTCTCTTTTACTGTATAAAAAGTACAGCACAATGAAAGCATATAGACAAAGTTTGTCATCTCTGGAGATAATAGGATATAATCTGCATTCTTACCTTAAGTTTTTAAATGGAAATCTGTTTTGTAATTATTGATTACAGTATTTTACTTTAAAGTTTTGTCAAGTACTATAAAAATAGAGTCACAATGCATTAAGCCACTCCTATATCTAGCCAAATTACTATTAGTTACAGAATTTTAATTTAAAATGTGCACTAACAGTAATGGTACAGCCAAAACCTCACTAATTGTACTTTTTCTACTTAAGACACCTTTCTGTCTAACATAGACACAAACTATCTGTCATAGTTTGACAGATTCAGGAATTGGGGAAAATTCTTTCTCTTGCATTGCATATTCCATTCAACAGTAATGGTCTGCAGAGACCTATGCCCCTAAGTAACCATTTGCCAAAAGAGAACATTCAAAGTACAGGTAACATCAGCTACATGTTCTTCAACCAATAACAACAAATAAGGCATTCTGTGATGATTACATCAAGATGAGACTATAGCTAAAAATCAGGAGTTTTTCTAAAACAAGTTCTGTGCAGATGCCAGAATATGAGACTAACCCAGTTATTGAGTAAATCAATCATGATTTTAAATAATATTAGAGAGGTAAATAGGCCTAAATGAGATCACAGTATTTTTGTCCTAAAGTGCAGTTTCAGCCAAAAAATCAGTTTTATTTCAAATTATTAGGACTTGCTTAACACTATGCTGAGCAGTGAGAAAAAAATACCTTGAAAGTGATTTCTGACACTAGTTATTATTTAAAATATTGTTTTAGAATATAGTATTCCCATGCAGTAATTGTCTTAGCTCATTACATTTCATTTGTTCTTTTTATACACATTTCCTATAACATGCAGGTTCTGATGTCTCCAAATAATTTGCATCTAAGTGGAGAGTATATTAATTATATCTGTAAAAGGAATAAGCCATTTTGTTGATCTTATAGCTACATTCTTTTCTCAGCATTGTGAATATTTTTGTTCAATTGTTTTATTTGGATTTTTTGAGGTTTTGGTATGCTAAAAGTGATTAAGCCTGAATTTACTGTCAGCAATGAATAACATTCTTCTTGGAAAAAAATCCTTATTACCATTTTTTATTGAACTTATACTATAAAAATATTATTTATATACACATGGCTCTTTTGTATGATGCTTTTACATTTTTATCTAAGTCTATATTCAAGCATTTAATTTTATTTATTTTTTATTAAACTTAATTGGATTGGGTAGAATTGACATAAATTGATCTTCTTCCCCGCGTTTGGGGAGCATGTAGCTAGGCAAAGAGAGATGTAATAACTTCTTGGTTATTTTATTTTAATAGGATCTTGCCTTTTCCTTTGGCAATCTTTTCTTCAGCAGAACAGCACCTATGGTTAAGAATTGTTCTAACATCTGGTCAATTCTGCCTCCCTGCCAGTGGGATGTATTTTAACTTTTGGAATGAGGAAACATGTATAAAATTAATACTGGTTTTGCCATAAATTAAGCTGGTTTTGTAGCAGCCTTTAATTTCTCTGTATTTCCTAATACAATGCCTAACCATATGGAAAATATTTCTAAATCAGCCACTTAATAACCAACTTTTTTGAAAAACTTAGCTGGGTTTTGAATACAAACTTGATTTAGTCATGTTCATTAAATTCAGAATGAAAAATCTTGCACTTGAGTATCTTAATATATACAACATTTATACAATTTCAACAAATAACATTTAGTGCACGATTCAGCATATTCAGAACACCCCAGAATGAGAATAAAACACTAGAAAGTTACAGTGTTCAGATCATTAATATTAATGTTTTGGAAAAATATAATTTTCTCACCATGAAATCTGAGGAAAAAATCTAGTTGAAAATGTAGTAAATTAATTGTAGTGTCTGAATTTCAGAAGCAGATTCTTAGACAAGAGAAATTCATATCTCTTTCTTGTATTTAATATATATCTTCTGTTGGGAATCAGGAAAATGTTCTTTCCTTTGTTGGAAAACATCAGAAATAGGGAATTGCAATATGTTGCAACAAAGTTTTAATTGGTGGTTTTTTCTGAGCTATACTGTACAAGATAGCAAGCAGCTACGCGAATAGTAATACTGGTGCCAGGGAAATATTGTTCCTATTTTGATTATAAACAGAGAAACCTAGGTCCTTTGTTAAAGAAAATCATACACATAGGAGATTTTTAAAAATAAATTCAATAGTTATTGGAAGTCCTATGCTTCGAAAAGTTGCTACCAAACCATTTTTTGTCACCATAGACTTAACACAACTCTCCTCCTACTGCATGAACTGGGTTTCTAGTAAAAGGGGGGAGTGTTTTGCACTCATACAGAATGCTTGGACACACTCTTTTTTGCTAATGGGAAGTTACCATAGGAGAAATTTGAGACTCTGGAAACTCTGGTGAGTGTAAACGACACTCAGTACTGTGGTGCTGAGAATCTTCACACTGCATCAATCCAGCAGGAGCTTCAAAGCCAGAAAGGTAGGCTGAGAATGTGTAAAGCAGTAGTAGCAAAGTCTGACACAAAGGATTAAGTTGATGTCCCCTAAGGTAGTGCTTTTAAAACGGGTAGGCCAAAACCAAACCAATTACATGCTGGCTTAATGCATGCAATATGTGACTATTTCAATGTGGACATGCAGCTGGAAGCACAAAGGTATGTTTTGCTTTAAAAAAGGATATAATGAAGTGATTATCCCTTTATTCAAGATTATACTGTGTGATCAATGTAATGTATTTAGAATGACTTTCTCTTTTTTGTTATTAAGTTGGGCAAAATACAGCAAACTTTATAAGGAATTAAAATGTATCCAGTAGATGATTCACAGAGTGTATTAAACCATAATGTGATTTCTTTCATTTTAGCTTAGTGTGTTGTATAAACCCTGCCTTTGCAGCTTCTTCAACCAATCATGGATTTTAAAAAGGTAGTTTAAGTCAGTACAGTGTGTGAGCATGGCAAATCTGTATTTCCAAATACTGGTGTTAATTTAATCACTCATCAGATTCAAAACAAATTCAATGTCATGTTTAGGCTTTTCCTAAAAGAGGGAATGATTTAAATAAGTGTAACACTAACTGTTGCTATATTTCTTTTGGAAAATGTTCTTACTCTAAAATTGCAACATGAGTAACAAGTGGTTGTTCACCAGAGAACAGCAGCCTTTATGTCTGCTTTTGTTTATACCCCCTAAATTTAATGTTGGTAATTTAAAGCAGCAGGTTCTCATCTCTGCACCATATCTTGTCTATGCATTTAAACTGCAATATTACTGTTTGTGCCTACGAACTTTGTTGAGCATCTTACATGTTCATTCAAAAGAGGGGGGAAATCCTAAACATTCTGAGTATAATACAATATTGTGGCCAATAGGTAGATGGCTTGTATAAAATGAGTTGGATACCAGTGTCTTCAGTAAATTGAAATCTATTGATTTTACTCTGCCATGTGCGATTTAGTTTTTTTGCATTTGGTTATAATGAAAAATATTACAACATTCATAAAAGCTAAAGCTAGTAAATTTAGTAAAATTATGTCAATGAATATTTCATTTTACTTCCAACTTCATTTTGGGAGAGAAACTGTCTTGGTCATTATGTTAGACTGTCTTACTGGGAGTTACGAACAGGTTTGGATCTTGTGGACTGCCCTGCATTTCCTGGGAACCTGTAGTACTGCTGCCCATGCTGTCATTGTGGGCCAACTTTCTGAGATGCGAATCAGTAACACTGAGCACTGGTGATTTCCAAATAAAACAGATTACTGCTCTGCCCTGTAACATGTGTTCTGTAGGTTTCTCTTATGCTATTTATCATCTACACCAAACAACTGTTAAAATTCATTCAAAACTTGTGTGTGCTATATACTGTAGGTAATCCCCAAGTTAAGAAGGCTCAGGTTACAGACAACCCATAGTTAAGAACGGAGCCTATTGTAGCAAAATTTGAGTTAAATACACAATGTTTTGAGTTAAATACACAATTGTTCAAGTTCATTACACAATGCTACTTATACAGTATTATTCAATAA